GATGGCTAGCACACATAGCCCTCGTGTAGCTTTGCGCGAAATTCAAACCAAACCTCTTTTATCTCCATCTATAAATTTATAACCTTTGTCATTGTATACATATTTTTAATAAAGAAGTTATCTAGATAATTTTTTATGCTTATTTTTTTATCACCATAATGTAATTATTTGTATAATTTTGTTTGAACAATTGAATTTCTTTAAAGATTATAATAAAGATTTTTTCACATGTTTTTTGTTCAGTTATTTGTACAAGTGATGAAAGTTGTCCAGGTGGATATATCTGTGAAACAGGACAATGTATCCGTAAGTTATGTTTTTTTCCTTAAAGTACTAATTGGGTTTTGAGGATTCACACATCTCTTAGTATCTTAATTACTAAAATTAATGTTCATGTCAGTTTCTATATGTAAATGAAATATATGGAAATATAATTTCTATGTTCATTGTTTTCTCTTTATATTATTTATTTCTATAAGGTTAAAATATTATTATTTTCTGTCTAATGAATAATTTTTCACAGAAATCACAAACATTTCACAGTCCACCTTTCTAACAAATGTGCCTAATCTACTCCCTGTCTTGACAAACCATTGTTACCTTGCATAAAAATCAGTTTAACTTTATATCTAGCTTACTTGAATTAAAACATGCACACTCAGTAAATGTTATTTTTAACTTGATATTCTTTTGGAAATTCACAACCTTTTTTTCTTTGGAGTTGAAACATAAGGAAAGTTTAATGTTCTTTGATATTAGAATGTTTAATTTTTGTACTGTACGATAAAGAATCTTAAAAATGTTTGTATGTTATATCTTTCATTGCTTTTTGTTTCCATTATATTTGTTTGTTATGTTTTGTAGCTGGTTGTAGAAATGACTTTGAGTGTCCCCTCATGGATGCCTGCATCAGTCTACAGTGTATCAGTAAGTTTGTCTGTGATTTAAACAAATAAACATCATTATTAAAAATATTAATACATGTTTATAAAATCAAAACAACAAAAGAGTTAAATAACTTATATTTGTTAAAAAAGAGAGAATGTTTTAAATATTCAGAGCATTTGACAATAAAATCTTCAAATTTTCAGAATCAAAGACAGAATTGTTGGGTCAGTGGCTTATTCTCTTTTCCTGAACATAAAAAAATGCTTGATATATGAACTTAGGACTAACAGTTGACCATTAAATAACAGTCTATAACATCAGATGTAATTATTGCATACAATTAGTTCATTAAATTCATTAGGATGCAATAACTGAATAAAGCCATGGAACCATTCATTCTGATTTTGTAACAGTCCTTGTTTTCTTTCACATGATGGTTGTGGCACTGTAGTTTTTTGCTCAGTTTCTTTAGTGACCACAAAGAAACTAGTTTTTCCAGTGTGAAGACATTTGTTATTTCCTTTTTTTATTTCTCATAAATTAATCCTGTTCTACTCTAACAATAGAAATATTCTCCACTTATTGATCAGTCACTGTCCCAGCCATCTTTCTGTGTTTGTTCTTGTCTTCTTAACACTAAGTCTTGTCTCTCTCATTCATTTGGTGGTACAATAAACTACATTTGTTCTTCCACATACTATATTTCTGAGTCTTTTGTTGCTGTAATGATCTGGTAAGTGTGTGTACCATTTATTCTGAACATTGAAATGCCACACATATAAAGAAATATGATGTACATTACATAAAAAAATAAAATACATGAACATATTGAAATATTATCCTCTTGAAGAACAACCATCATTTTTGAGCTGTAAATGCACAATAGGTATGTTTGGATGCTGTATATCCTAATTTGACTCACATAGACAAAAAACTTGGATTTATGTTAAATCTGTCTTTATTTTAATATTTCTCTGTTTTTAAAACAGTCCAGTGTTTCAAATATAATGCTTAGTTTGGAGTACAGTTTAAAATTCTGAGATAATAGACTGTATTACCTTGTTTCCAAAATGATTGTGAGAGAACCAATAAAGTATTCGCACACATTGTTTACACAATCTGTATACCACATAATTCATTACAATTGTTTCATAACAAAACATTATTTTTCTCTGTCATTTTCACAAGTAAAAATTATTATGTTAAATTGTGCCCCATTTCCATTTTGTGTTTAGTTGTATACCTTATAAATTTTGTTGAATAAATGTAACTTTTACCTAAAAGTGTTAATGTTATGAGAATTTCACTTAATTTATTTATTTCTCATTTATCAGCAGGTAACTGAGATCAAGTAAGCTAAAAGTATGGTGTTGTTATGAATTTCTAACAACAGTGCTTCTTATAAAACTACATACAAGTGCACTACTTCGCTTAATAGTATTCCTAATAGCATTGTTTCTTGTAAAACTATATACAGGTGTGCTACTTCACTTGATAGTATTGTCTACAGTGTGAGTTTGTTACCTGTTAGAAATTTATTGTTTTTTTATACTTGGAACTGTTAAGTCTTCATGTTTGCAGACATGAAGATGTTTGTTATAAAGTACATGAAAACTTGCTTTTTATTGATACTTTAGGCTATATATATATTGTTTAAAATTTTCACTGTGTTTCTTGAGTGAGATGATGGTTCAGTCTTTATGCTGAGGCCTATTTAGACATTAAACCTCAGCATAGACAAAAATGCAGATTTCAACCTTGCATGAAAGCTTGTACAAAAAAGAAAATAAATATAGATTGATTCCCGTAGAGAATTTCTATGACATAGGGACTCAAGTTTTTTTAAGTTATTCTGGTATGTATGATTATTTGCTAAGCAAAATTAGTAATAATAGCTAACTCTCAGAATTAATTATAGTTATGCAAACATCTTTTGAAAAACATAAAAATCAAGCCCAAATAATAATAATACAGTCTTTAAGTTATTTTTCTCAAAAGCTGTTATTCTAGTGATGAAGAAGTTTAATAAAATGTGTTGGTTGTTTATAATAATAATTTTAAATGTATATGAATTGCATGTAGTTCTTAAATTATGTATCTGTTACTTTAATATGTATATTCTTACTTGGTTCTTCAGATCCATGTGACAGTCCAACAGCATGTGGTACTAATGCTCAATGTCAGCCAGTAGACCACCAACCATTCTGTACTTGCCTTCCTAATTACACTGGTGATCCCAGAGTTGAATGTAACAAGGGTATGCGAGTCACTTTGGTTTCTTTCATATTAGATATAAGAACAATTTAAATGTACTTGAACTTCTTTAACTTGAACTTATCTGACATGAAACATTCAATGTGCATTTTCTTTATTTACCTAAATAAAAGTTATTATAATTACACTTCACTTCACTTAATCTAGCTCACATCATAACAGTTGTGATTCATGCAGTTGACGATATGATTAGTATCTAGAACCACTTCTTTGTCTATCATAACCCAGCTACCCTGATGAGCTGTGGTGTTTGATGAAAGGCTTTCTTGGAACTGAATATAGCAGATATATGTTCTCTATCTAAAGTTCTTAGAATTATTGAAAAAATTAGCTTCTCCATCTTTGTAAAATTCGATTTTTAAAAAGCAAAATTAAATTTGGAAAGAATGAACTTTTATAGGGAATTCTGCTTTTTAATTAGGTTCTTTTCTCTAATAATAAAATGTTTTTTTTGTACTGTGTGATACTTTTAAGATGTTTATGTATTTCAAAGATGAAGTCTTTTCAGAATATGAACAAACTGCTTTTGTTTTGATAATATTACACTGTCAAATTAAAGTGGGGATCATTACGAAAAAACAGCATTAATGAAAATACTTTCTTACTTATTTTGACCAGTTAGTTTTGAGAACATCATATTAACTATAAATGAATAATCCTTTGTTGTTGTTTTTTATTATTTATCATAGTGGATTGCATCATTGATTCAAACTGTGGTGCAACAGAAATATGTCAGAATTATAAGTGTATTGGTAAGTAACGTGCCAAGTATTTGTTATTTTTTTTAACATTTGAGCTGTATTGAAATGTTTTATAGACTGAAACATTAAGTAAAAAAAGAGAAAGAAAAAGAAAGTGAATGTTAACAAATGTTAAAGTAAAACTAAGTGGAAACATTGCATAAGAAGCATACATGTATTACTGTAAGATATTCTTGAAACTCCCATATAAATAAACTGTTTAAGAATGGGGGTGTCACAGTTTTCTTTTTAACAGGCAATACTTTCTGGAATTCTTAATTTTATGTTGTTATGTAAGGTTTACTGAACAATGTGGGAATTCTTACATTTTTTATTGAAAATTTTCACTTTCTTTCATGTGCATCATTGTTTATCTATAAGGAAAAACATCAAAGTTTCGTCTCATTTGGTGTTAATGTTTGTTCTTGTATCATTGAATTTCACATAGTTTCCACCACACATCTTTTATAAAACAATTTCGAAAGACATCACAGCATAAAATATCTAGAAGATGCAATCACACATGTAAACTGTACTTTGGGATTTTTTGTTTATATTCAGTCTTCCTTTTGAATTTCTCTCTCTTTTACTTAGATATATTTTAGGTAATTGAACTTTCTTTTAAGTGAGTCATGTTAGTTTAAATATTACTTGACCACATATGTACATAATAACATGATTTATCTCCTTAGTTCCATTTCACTTTTAATTAAACATTTTCAAATGTTGAAAATTATTTCTTTGCATGAATCAGTCAGTTGACTGGAGAACTCATTTTATTCAGCTCTGGCCTTAATTTGTTAATCAGCAACATCTTTGTTTTAATAAATAAAGACAAATAAATTACTCAACACAATGTAGTATGTGGGCCTTAACAGTACTGAACTGTAAAAACAAACAAGTCAGTAGCTTGAGTGTTAAATACTTCAACTTTTGTTATTAAGTATTTGTATGGCCAGGTGGTTAGGGCACTCGACTTGCAATCTGTGGGTTCGAATCCCCTTCACACCAAACATGCTCGCCCTATCAGCAATGGTGGCATTATAATGTGATGGTCAATCCCACTATTCATTGGTAAAAGAGTAGCCCAAGAGTTGGTCGTGGGTGGTGATGACTAGCTGCCTTCCCTCTAGTCTTACACTGATAAATTACAGATGGCTAGTGCAGATAGCCCTCGTGTAGCTTTGCATGAAATTCAAAAACAAACAAGTGTTTGTATCAAACATGATGACCAAATTTCCTGATAGTTTCAGGATTTTTTGTTTTTTAGTGAGGTTTTTATTATGTGTAAATCATAATTATTAATGGATAAAGCATTGATTTTTCTAAAGCTTTAAATTAATGCTTCTAAAACAACAATTACGTTGATATTGTTTGTTACGACAGCACTCACATACTTAACATTAATTCATGTGAATAATCTGAAAAGAAAAGTGATATTTGCATTTTAAACTTGTATAGTATTGTGTAATCTGCTCTTTCTATCAAGATTTTTCATCATTCTTGAATTATTTGTTTAGTTTTAAGAATACTATAAAAATGTTACACTGTTTCCTAACCCTACAGAGGGCTGTAGATCTGATAATAGTTGTCCACCTGATATGACATGCATCAGAAGGAAGTGTGAGGATCCTTGTCAATTCAGTGCAGCTTGTGGAGCTCATGCAATATGTAAAACAGAAGCCCATACGTTGTTATGCAGCTGTCCTGTTGGTTTTTCTGGAAATCCTCTTTTAGAGTGTTTCAGAGGTAGGTCTAATTCATGTCGATGATTTTTAAAGTATACCATCATATGTTTTAACTATTATATGTATACCAAGTTTATATCTGAAACTTGGCTGATTTACTCTACATGTAGATAGGAGGTATAAAATGTATTTTAAGAAGTACTGATATTTATTATGGAATCAAATATAGCAACAGCTATAAACTGCCTCACCAAATCAACATTTGATACAAACTACATAAATTATTCATCACTTATGTGTATACGATATACCACAAGAATTTTTCCAGGTATTTAACTTGTCATATATAGTTTTCAAAAATGGTTTATAAAACGTTATTGATAAAATCAAGTAAATTTAGATACATTTACAGAAAAATCTGAAATATAGAAGTAAATGGAGTCAGGCATGTCCTTGTGGTAAACATCAACATGCTGGAGTGTGCTTCTGAGAGTCCATGATTTGTTTCATGTTAGTAAAAAAAATGTGTTTCACAGTTTGGGACATTTGTGTGAGTGTTAAAAGCATGATTGTCAGATTCCAATCTTTGACTAGAGTAATCCAATAGTTAATAATGGGTGTTAATAAAAAGCTATCTTTCCTTTAGTATGTCATCTCAAAATTAGGGATAGCTAGTGCAGATAGTCTATTGGTAGCTTTGTGCAAATTTCTAAAAAAAAACAAGGCTGATTGTTTTGCATTTACCTAATGTTTATTAACCATTATCTCTCTTACACTGTATATAAATATACACATGTATGATTTTGAGTTTCTTGGGTTTCAGTTGGTGTGTGTACTGTTTCTGCTGATTGTAAAGAAGGACAAGTTTGTGAAGACAACAAATGCCTTCGTAAGCAGTATTATTTAACTATTTCTTAAGAATAATTTTTGCTGTTGTTGTTTTTCTAACATCGTAATTGAATTAATATACATGTATATCGGCATAATATAAAGCAAGATATGTCTAACATTTGCTGAAGTACACTTAATCTATAGTAGCTTATGGTATCCACCAAGGATTAAGAAATAAGTGAGAAAGAGGTTTTGGTAATTCAAAAATTGAATTTTATTGCAACCACACTTGATCTACATGAGTACAAGACTTGTGGATCTAATATGCAGAAAGACAGATTTAGTAATTTTTTTGCTGATGAAATGAAACAAAGAGACATGATATGAAATTGAAATTAAAATAAAACACTTTATTGATGGAGAATCAGAAAAAAGACTGGCTAATCATGCTAATGATAGGACTGTTACAATGTGTTGTAGTTAAAATGTGGAATGAACAATGTAGTTAAACTATATTTAAATGGGTAAACTAAATCAGATTTGACTGTATTTAGCAAAAGAAAAAAAAAGAGAAGATAAAAATAAACTAATGGCAACAGAGGTAAATGAGTCAGCAAGCACTAATAGGACAGAATGAACAGAGCCAGGATTCTACAGTGAGTTTTGAATTTCTCATAAGAAATGAACTGCCTACACCATCAGTGGAAATAAATCTGATCTGAACCCACTAGAAGTGCATTCACAGTATCCATTCTCTCTATAGCTGTCTAATCAGAAAATGGGCACCAGAATATAGAAATACCTTTGCTCCATGTGACAGTTATAAGGTATCTATATACATATATATATATATATATATATATATATATATATATATG